AGTTTTTACTGAGCTGAGAAAATCTGCTTTTCGTTTCAGTGCACCAGTGAACCAGAAAACATTCCAGAAAACTCTAAAACTCTGCTTGCTGGTGTCACTCCACCATTTTAAACTTTTAAACTCTAACCATCTTCACTCAGCCTGCAACTATAGATATGATGTTAGTTATTTTACTTTTCAGTTTAATTTTATTATTAGGTAACACTTCATTTGGAGAGTAAGTAAGTAAGTAAGTAAGTAAAGTTTATTTATATAGCGCTTTTTACAACAGGTGTTGTCACAAAGCAGCTTTACAAGGAAATGAGCATTACAAAAAGAAGTCCGGGTCCGAGCCCCCATGAGCAAGCCAGTGGCGACAGTGGCAAGGAAAAACTCCCTAAGAGAAACAGGAAGAAACCTTGAGAGGAACCAGGACTCAGAAGGGGAACCCATCCTCCTCTGGTCGACACCGGATAGTAAACATTGTTAGTATAAAGTATTATAGTACAAAAAACAGGGTAAAACGTGAAGGAAACAATTAATTTGAATAGTTCAGTTCATGCAGCAGAAGCAGCAGCATCAGTGGGGTCAGGTTGTGAGGGTGAGGTTTGCACGGTGAGCAGTGGCACCCGATCAAGGCAGCAGAGGCAGCAGCATCAGCAGCAGGATGGGCAGCTGTTCAACTCGGCAAAAGAAAGAGAGGAAAAACACAGTCAATGGGTGATTGATTAATTTGAATTAGTTTGAATGATTGATTGGTTCAAGTGAATAATTTTGAATAGTTCATGCAGCAACAGCAGTAGTATCAGTGGGGTCAGGTTGTGAGGGTGAGGTTTGCACGGCGTTGAACAGCAGGAGGCTCAATGTTGGTAACCCGGTCCAGAGGGCTGGCGAGCAGTGGCACCCGATCGAGGCAGAAAAGGCAGCAGCATCAGAACGCACAGGATGGGCAGCTGTTCAACTCGGCGAAGAAAAGAAAGGAAAACACACAGAGAGGAAAACACACAGAGTCAGTTCTGTAATGGGTGACCGATCACAAATTACAGTGTTAGCAGAGACTCTGGCAGGTATAGAACTAACAGGGAAAACTAATTACCAAAGGCTTGAATATACAAGTAGGTTTTTAGCCTAGACTTAAAGACTGAGGCTGTGTCTGAGTCCCGAACATTAACAGGAAGACTATTCCAAAGCTGGGGGGCTTTGTATGAGAAAGCTCTCCCCCCTGACGTAACTTTATTAATTCTGGGTACTAATAGTAAGCCAGCACCTTGTGATCTAAGTAGGCGGGATGGTTCATAGTGAGAGAGAAGTTCACTCAGGTACAGCGGGGCGAGTCCGTTTAGTGCTTTATAAGTCAGCAAGAGAATTTTATAATCAATCTGAAATTTTACTGGCAACCAGTGTAAGGCTGATAAAACTGGGCTGATATGGTCAAACTTTCTGGTTCTAGTAAGAACTCTGGCTGCAGCGTTCTGGACTAGCTGAAGCTTGTTAATGCTTTTGCTGGGACATCCAGCCAGCAGGGCATTACAGTAATCTAGCCTTGAAGTAATAAATGCATGAACTAACTTTTCTGCATCCTGTAGAGATAATGCATTTCTCAATTTAGCAATATTGCGAAGATGCAGGAAGGCTGTTCTAGTAATATTAGTTATATGTGTGTCGAAGGACAGATCAGGGTCTATAATGACACCAAGGTTTTTTACATATGAGCTTGACGCAACTGAGGAATTGTTAAGTTTAAGTGTTAAATTAGACAGTTTGTTTCTAGCCGCTTTTGGACCAAGAAGCAGAACCTCTGTTTTATCTGAGTTTAGAAGGAGAAAGTTACTCGACATCCAGTCCTTTATGTCTTGTATACAGTCTTCAATCTTGCTAAGTTTAATTCTATCATCTGGGTCGCTTGCTAAATATAACTGAGTGTCATCGGCATAGCAGTGGAAGTTTATGCCATGTCTACTGATAATGGTGCCCAGTGGTAGCATATATAAAGTGAATAATACAGGTCCTAAAACAGAGCCTTGTGGAACACCATATTTTACTTTTGTGAGAACAGATGATTCACCGTTTATATTAACAAACTGATACCGATCAGTGAGGTAGGACCGGAACCAGGAAAGAGCTGTTCCTGTTACCCCTGCAAGGTTTTCTAGTCTGTCTAGTAAGATAGTGTGGTCTATTGTGTCAAATGCCGCACTAAGATCGAGGAGGACTAACAAGGACACATGATCTTGGTCAGAAAATAATAATAGATCATTTACAATTTTTACTAGTGCTGTTTCTGTACTATGATGTGGCCTAAAACCAGATTGGAATTTTTCATGTATTTGATTCCTATGTAAAAAGGAGCTTAACTGTTTTGCTACAACTTTTTCCAAGATCTTAGATATAAAGGAGAGATTCGAGATGGGTCTATAATTTGAATGTTCGCATGGATCGAGGTTAGCTTTCTTAATCAGCGGTCTAATTACTGCTAGTTTAAGAGATTTTGGGATGTACCCAAGGCTAAGAGAAGAGTTTATTATTGACAGAATAGGCTTGGTTATTTCTGGCAGAATTTCCTTGAGTAAACCTGTAGGAATCGGATCTAGCAGAGTCCACTGTAGATGCCTTGTAGATTCTTATTTCATTTAATTTACATTCAATTAAATATCTATTAAACTCACCTTAATCTACATAAAACTGACCCTGACCCTAAACCTAACCATATCATCCCATAGCCTAAAACTAACGCTCACCCTGGTGATGAACTTAACCCTGATACTAATCCTCACCTAAATCCTAATACTCTTGAGAATCAGTGGAGATGCTGAAGGTCTGTGAGAGCTTCAGTGATGTGTTCTCCATGTCATTGGCCTATTTTTTTTAATTACTGTTCTGCATTTATGTTATACTTAATAATAGTTGCACGGGACAGACATTTGAAATGCTCACAGCTTCACAATGTGAATAATGTCTGTTTACAGCATCTCAACAGCAGAGTAAAAGGAGCAATTAGGTAAAATATCCTAATGTAACATGCCAGAAAGATTCAGACACTCATGGTTAAAAACGTCAAAGGAGGCTTTACTGATAGAATCAGAGTCCAGTTTCGTGGTCAAAAAACAAGCGTGGGTCAAATCCAGAAAACACAACCAGTACAAAAAGACAAACATAACAGGTGAACAATCCAAAAGGGCCAGGCTAAAAGGCAGATTTGAGAAAACAGGCAAAAAGGTCATAAACAGTGACATCTTGAAAGGCAGACAATCCAAAGGTTCAGGCAAAAAGGAAGAGTCGAGAAAACAGACAACAATGATCAAAAACAGGAGTCATCAACAAAAGAACACTCAGCAGATCAAAAGTGATAAAATACCTCACAAACTGTCCAAGTGTGTCTCAGAGCCAGATGGATGCGTGACACCTAATAAGATCAGAAATTTAACATAACCCTCACTCATTTACAAATTTCAAATGATCACCATATAAATAATCCATTAGACTCTCTGATAAAGCTGTGTAGTAAATCAACAAAACATGTTTGTACGAAACAAGTTAAAAAAATGAAATTATTAGAAACCTCCCCAATTCACTGTAGAATGATTTGTTTTAACTTACATTAACATGGCTGTCCTAAAACTGAGATTTTATTGCATTGCTTTTAAAAAGCTAACAGAATCTAAGAAATAAAGAATTGATCTGTTAACTCACAATATGAGATCCAGCACAATCAAAAAGGCAGGAACGCTACTGACTTTTTAACATTATAGTAATGTTAAACACCCCATGTTCAAAAGCCTAGGTTGAATTAAAACAAATAACTTGAGTGTTTGGTTACAGTTGTAGTTGCATAAGGTGGCACAACCAGTTATTAAGTTTATGGGGCAGTTACTTTTTTAAATGACCTTTTTAAAACTTTTTTGGGCTTCCTTTAGTTATTTTTGTCTCTTGTTACATTTTATACGAGTATCCTAATCTATTTAGTGTGACAAATATGCAAAATCAGAGGAAATCAGGAGGGGGCAAATATTTTTTCACTGCACTGTGTATGATACCATTTAACAAACCAGCAGTGCTTTCTTCCCTCTTAATCACCTGGGCTGAAGATAAAGATGGGACATTTTATAGGACATTAGATTAGAAGAAGGAGAAATATATGAAAGAAAATAATGAAAATACAGTGTTTGAATTTGAACAGTGTTTGAACTTTATTTTAGCTAAATGTCTCAGTGCTCAGGCCAGCAGAGTGAGCTCCTGTAGTGGGGCTGACTGGCCCTGTGCAAGAATCAAACTTAGGCCTCTAATACTAGAGACCAGCAAGGCACATCAAAGTTAGAGAAGGGAAAGGAACAAACTTAAAACACTGCACAAAAAACTGAAACTCAGTCATCTGAGACAGATGTGAACTGTGTAACTGTGGGTTTGAAAGCTGACACAGGGTGAACTAGAGACAGGAGCAGAAATAGGTTACAGAGTAACATACAAGTAAAGTGTAGTGATAATGTAATCACATTTTATTTTGAGAGAAATAATTAGCAACTTATTTTACTTTGAGTAACTACAACAACAATGGTGGCCAAAGATTTCCATTTTTCATCATTGACCAGCAAACAGCTCTTGCTTCCAAAATGCCTCTAGTTCATCTAGATGTTGTTTTAGATCTCAGAAATTGATTTTTGTGATGTGGTCACAGATAATGTTTCCTTCTGATTCAAATTTGGTTTACTCTTTAAAAGACTTTCCAATGTGGAGAGCTGGAGCCAGTATTCTTCATTTCTCTTTAATGCAGGTTCATTTTCTGGCCATCTTGAATCCAGCGAGTGGGCTACAGTAGGGCTATCTTTGTGGTTTGCAACCCATTTTTAAATAGATTAATGCGAAAATAACAACAAGATTATCACTCAATTTTTGTTATAAACTGGCTAGAGGTCAGTCTGTAATGATATTTACAGAATTTGGTGTTCCCTGTGTTTGTTCTGTACTGCAGCTGGGTTTTGCTGTATGTAAGTACCATGTGTCCCTCCTTTTCCTCCTTTCTGCAGATTGTCTGGCTGTATGATTACAGATGAAGGCTGTTCTTCTCTGGCTTCAGCTCTGAAGTCAAACCCCTCCCACCTGAGAGAACTGGATCTGACTTATAATCACCCAGGAGAGTCTGGAGTGAAGCTGCTGTCTGATGTACTGGAGGATCCACACTGTAAACTGGAGACACTACAGTGAGTTACTGACTTACTGTCTCTATAGAGATTGACTGTAATTATACACATTATACACATTACTGACTGAAATGTTTTTCTGTAGATGTGTATTTTTGAAATGCGACTGAACACATCTTACACACTGAGTTTAACTTCTTACAGACTGACTGAACACGACTTACACACTGAGTTTAACTTCTTACAGACTGACTGAACACATCTTACACACTGAGTTTAACTTCTTACAGACTGACTGAACATGACTTACACATCGAGATTAACTTCTTGCAGACTGAACATGTCTTACACACTGAGTATAGCTTCTTAGTCTGAACACGTCTTACAGAGATTAACTTCTCACAGACTGAACACGTCTTACAGAGATTAACTTCTCACAGACTGAACACGTCTTACACACTGAGTTTAACTTCTCACAGACTGAACACGTCTTACACACTGAGATTAACTTCTCACAGACTGAACACGTCTTACAGAGATTAACTTCTCACAGACTGAACACGTCTTACACACTGAGTTTAACTTCTCACAGACTGAACACGTCTTACACACTGAGATTAACTTCTCACAGACTGAACACGTCTTACACACTGAGTTTAACTTCTCACAGACTGAACACGTCTTACACACTGAGTTTAACTTCTTACAGACTGACTGAACACATCTTACACACTGAGTTTACCTTCTTACAGACTGACTGAACACATCTTACACACTGAGATTAACTTCTCACAGACTGAACACGTCTTACACACTGAGTTTAACTTCTCACAGACTGAACACGTCTTACACACTGAGTTTAACTTCTTACAGACTGACTGAACACATCTTACACACTGAGTTTACCTTCTTACAGACTGAACACATCTTACACACTGAGTTTAACTTCTTACAGACTGACTGAACACATTTTACACACTGAGTTTACCTTCTTACAGACTGAACACATCTTACACACTGAGTTTAACTTCTTACAGACTGGCTGAACACATCTTACACACTGAGTTTAACTTCTTACAGACTGACTGAACACATCTTACACACTGAGTTTACCTTCTTACAGACTGAACACGTCTTACACACTGAGTTTAACTTCTCACAGACTGAACACGTCTTACACACTGAGATTAACTTCTTACAGACTGAACACATCTTACCTGCTGAGTTTAACTTCTCACAGACTGAACACGTCTAACACACTAAGTTTAACTTCTTACAGACTGACTGAACACATCTTACACACTGAGTTTACCTTCTTACAGACTGAACACATCTTACACACTGAGTTTAACTTCTTACAGACTGACTGAACACATCTTACACACTGAGTTTAACTTCTTACAGACTGAACACATCTTACACACTGAGTTTAACTTCTTACAGACTGACTGAACACATCTTACACACTGAGTTTACCTTCTTACAGACTGAACACATCTTACACACTGAGTTTAACTTCTTACAGACTGACTGAACACATCTTACACACTGAGTTTAACTTCTTACAGACTGAACACATCTTACACACTGAGTTTAACTTTTTACAGACAGAGCACGTCCTAGTCCAGCAGTGTGATTTAGAGCCAAATAGACTAGCAGTGTGATTTGGGGCTAAAAGGTCTAGCAGTCTCATTTAGATCTAACTAGCCTTGCAGTTTGATTTAGAGCTAACTAGTCTGCCAGTTTCATTCATATCGAACTAGCCTAGAAGTGTGAGCTAACTTGTCTAGCACTGTGATGTACTGTTAACTAGCTAGTGTGATTTAGCACTAACCTGCCAGCCTGATTTACAGCTAATTAGCCTAGCAGTGTGATTTATAGCTCACTAGCATATCAGTGTGATTTAGCGCCAAATAGCCTAACTGCTTGATTCAGAGCTAACTAACCTAGCAGTGTGATTAAGAGCTAAGTAGCCTAGCAGTGTGATTTTAGAGTTAAGTAGATGAGCAGTTTGATTTAGAGCTAACTAGCCTGGCAGTGCGATTTAGCACCAATTAGCCTAACTGCACAATTAAATGCTAAGTAGCCTAGCAATGTGATTTTAGAGCTAACTAGCCTATCGGTGACATATATTGCTAACTAGCTTTGCAGTGTGGTTTAGCAGTGTGATTTAGAGCTAAGTAGCCTAGCAGTGTGCTTTAGAGTTAATTTAAGTTTTATCTGGACCGTAAGGTCTGAAGGCAGTTTTGTACCGTAATGATCTGTTTTAGTCTTTATGTGGGTTTTATACCATAACAATCTGCTTTAGTCTTAATTTTAGGTTGGATTTAATTTGATGTGAAGTTTAATGAATGTATAAATGTGTGTGTTTGCTCTTCAGGGTGGATCATGGAGGGAAGATCAGGATCAAACCAGGACTGAAGAAATGTAACACACACATACACTATATACACACACACACACACACATATATATATATGTACTATACACACATGTACTCTCATGTCTTACACACATACACACACACTGTAAACACACAAACATTATATACACACAGACACACACACAAAGGAAACAAAAACAGAATTTTAATGTTTGTGTGTGTGTATCTGTGTGTGTGTGTGTGTATCTGTGTGTGTGTGTGTATCTGTGTGTGTGTGTATCTGTGTGTGTGTGTGTGTGTGTGTGTGTGTGTGTGCAGATGCTGTTAATCTCACTCTGGATCCAAACACAGTGAACAGTCGTCTCTCTCTGTCTGAGAGGAACAGAAAGGTGAAGAATGTGGGAAAAGATCAATCGTATCCACGTCATCCAGACAGGTTTGATGGCTGTGCTCAGGTTCTGAGTGTGGAGAGTCTGACTGGACGCTGTTACTGGGAGGTTCAGTGGAGCGGAAGAGCTGAAATATCAGTATCATACAGAGGAATCAGGAGGAAAGGAGGCAGTGGTCACTGTGGGTTTGGATGGAATAATCATTCCTGGAGTCTGAACTGCTCTAATAACAGATACTCTGTCTATCACAATAAACAGAGAACTGATCTACCTGCCCCCCCCTCCCCCTCTAACAGAGTAGGAGTGTATCTGGACTGGGGGTCCGGCACTCTGTCCTTCTACACCATCTCCCCTAACACACACACACTGACCCACCTACACACATTCACCACCACATTCACTGAACCGCTCTACGCTGGATTCTGGATTTATGATGAATCCTCAGTGAGTCTGTGTGAGATAGAATAACCTCTACAGAGAGAGAGAGAGAGAGAGAGAGAGAGAGAGAGATACAGACAGAGAGAGACAGAGGGAGAACGGAGGTAAGGCGAGAGAGACAGAGTGAGAGAGACCAACAAGCTAGCTAGCTTGTTTTGCTAGCTTCGTATCCCCAGAGCCTGTGTGTCTCCACAGCGGGCGGAACCTGTCATAAAGTTTGCGATAACAAAGCCCACCCATTTAGAGGAACGATATGATCAATATGGTCAATTTTACTGTCATTTGAAATTGGTCTCTCAGTGAATTACTGTTGCTTGGCCCTCTGCAAATTTATAGCTGAACCACCAAATCACCAACAGTCTTTCCAGCAACAGCAGATATGGCAAAATTCTGATAGGGGGAGACAGAGGGGCTTCTCCAATTTAACCCTTCACAGTCCAGTAGCTTAGATTTGTATTTGTTTAGATGTTGATTAATAAAATATGATCAGATAAAACCAGAACTGCTCAATTTTAAAATATTTTAGAATATTTTAAGCCCTCTCTGAGAGCGTAGAGGGCCCTGACGGTTCCCCTCTGGGATCTCCACCCAACCTTTTTTAGAGTGCAAGGCTATAATCCTAATGGTTCTAGTAGTATATATCATACACATTCTGTCAAATGAGTGATTTATGACCCATGATTTATGACGCTTAATTTATAACCCCCTGTGATTGACAGGTCAGTTTTGATTGACAGGTCAGTTTTGATTGACAAGTCAACAGAGTTTTTACGACACCCACACACCCCCACAATTTATGACACCTGAGTGTGTGTGTGTGTGTGTGTGTGGCTTACATATAGTATTTAAGCAGTCACCCCACCGGTGGTTTTGTATGTTTTTTTTTGTTGCAAAATGTCTGTTGCTAGTGTACATCAGACTTTTCTTAGAGATTCTATAGTTACACCAACTGTTAGTTCTAGTGGTAGTGAAACCAATTTGGTTTTTGCATTTGGTTGCAGGCCTCGCAAACACTTCAAGGGTGTTAAGATTAATCTATTTGATTCTCTGGCTTATGATGTATGTGGGGAGGGTCAAACAGTATCACCGCCTTCCCGCTGTGTTTATTAAAAGGGAACCCCAGCCATTCAAAGGGCATACAATGTCAAGAAAGGTCTACCACTTAAGCCGACATGTTTTGAGGATTTTCTTCCAGCAGACCATTCCAACAGCCATGGGCCTCTGTGGTATAAAAATTATCAAGTGCCGGACTTTGATTATGCACTGCTCGACACGGGTTGTGGCGTTGTGAACTACAGCTATGATGAATCGGCTGTGATCAACACAGTGTCAGACAACAGTTGGCTGGATCAATACGGTGACAATCTTGGAAGTATGAATATGACAAACCTTTTGGAACCGTTGGAAGGGTTGGTGTCTAGACATCAGACGTTGCCTGCAAGGTGAAACACTCGTAGAAGCTCCTGAATGCAAAACTATATCTGATCCAACCGATGATGGTCAAGTATGCACTACAGCATTAAAACTGATAAAGTCTGCTGTGGTTGTAATCCTACAACACATCATAAACAACAAACTGAAGGAAACATGTCTCGCTTGTGAAGTGGAACACCCCAGTCAACTTCGACATTCATGCCTGTTTGCGCCAGATATCTTCTTTGAAAAATACTATAAAGATGTAACATGGACATTGTTCACACCCGAGTTACAAGATGCCATAGTTGCGCTTCTAGTGTTTTGGAATACATCTGAAAATTCTAAAAATTCAAGGATGTGCTGAAACAATTGTCTGTGAATTACAGTGTGAGCCATACATTGTGGAAAAGCTACAGGAAATAAGAGAAAACCTGGTTGATCAAACATCCGAACAGTTTGTCGCTGACGCTGTTGACTGTTGGAAAACAGGTTCAAAGACTTGCAGTACTGTTTAAGGCAATTGGGGAATGTTTGTGGATTCCAGCGTCTGGCGGACCATGTGTTGAAACACCGTGTGAACTATGAATTGACAAATTTGTTTTATAAATGTATTGACGATTGTGTGGATGATTTTAGCCTCTTTAATAGCGTGCATGATGTTGATGCTAAACGTTTTTACAAAATTTCAAGAATCAAATGGATATTGCCAAATCAGCATCAGATAAATGGTGCCACTTGACACAGTTATGAACCTATGTGACTATCAGTAAGATTTTATCTCTTATGCCTAAGAGTAATGATACAGCAAAAATCAGTCACGTACTTTGCCTATGTACATACATATTAGACGTTTGTGTGATAAAACTTTCAGCAAAGAAACCAATTAATGTTTGTAAAGTGTAGATGTGTGTTTGACATTTCTAGATTTCATTGATTCGTTGTGAGTTGTGAATAAAACAGTAAATCAAATGAAAATTGGGTAATTATTTTCAACGACAGCATCTATCAACATGTCAGATCTTATGAAATCAGTTTATTATACGCTTTCTAATTTTGGTTCATTAGGTGGTTAAAAATCGCTTGAAACAGACTGTTTTAGAGGATACAGGTGTGCGTCTGTCTGATCAACAGGTTTCAGATTGGTAAGCTGGCGAGGATGCATACATGCTTCACAAACCCATACGGCATAATTACAAAAGAAACAGGGTTATAGTATACAGTATTGACTCGCAATTCCAAGCCGATCTTGTTGATATGAACAGATATTCAAAGGAAAACGATGGTTATAAATATATGCTGACATGTATTGACATATTTAGCAAATATGCCTGGGTCCGGTTGTTAAAAAATAAGTCGGGTTTGGAAGTCGCTAACGCGTTTGCATCCATACTAGCCGAGGGTAGAGTGCCTCAAAAATTGCAGACTGACAGGGGTAAAGAGTTTTTTAACAAACATTTTCAAAACCTGGTATCAAAAAACAAAATTACGCATTTTGCTACAGGTAGTGAACTAAAGGCTAGTGTCGTAGAGCGTTTTAATAGAACTCTAAAAAGTCATATGTGGCGATATCTAACAGCTATAAATTCCAAAAGGTACATTGATGTTTTACAAGACATAATGTGTGGGTACAACAACAGTTATCATAGGAGTATAAAAATGAAGCCTGTCAATGTAACCAAAGAAAATGAATCTATTGTGTTTAAAATGTTGTATGGTGTGAAAAACAAACTAGACAAGGAAACTATATTTAAGTATAAGATTGGCAATCTTGTGCGAATTTCTAAAGTCAGAGGACCATTTACAAAGGGTTATGAGGAGAACTATACACATGAATTTTTCACCATATCAGATCGCATCCATCGACACCCGCCTGTTTATAGATTGAAAGATTATGATGGTGATATTATACAAGGTCGTTTCTATGAACAAGAGCTGCAAAAAATAAATGTGTCTGGAGATAAAACTTTCAAAGTTGAAAAAATGTTAGATGAGGGAAAAAAACACTGGTTTTAGTGAAATGGTTGGGTTGGCTGTCCAAATTGAACAGCTGGGTTCCTGAAAGTGATGTAGTGGACAAAAACCTTAAAAGATGTATCACTTTGTGAATGTGTTTCATTACCACAAATGACCAAACATGGGTGACAACATGTTTTGTATGTTCATCTATGTCCATATACCCTGATAATCAAATTTCTAATTATAGAACAACACTGGCAAAACCGATCGATTTGAAAGGTGACTGGGAAGTGGGGTTGGTAGAGTTTCAGTACCCGCGAACATGGAAAATGTTTGATGAGGCTGATGATACATTTACAGCAGTTGATAAAAAATTGGAAAAAACAACGCAAATAACACTACTTACAGGATATTATAACAACATACCCATGTTGATTGATGAGATAAATTTTCATCTAGCGCCACATTCTGTACTTCTTGGTTATGACCAAATAAGACCCAAGGTTTATATTAAGACGAGACCTGGTATAGGATTAATATTTGATGGAAAACTAGCCATTATTTTAGGACTAAAACCAGGGGTGATGCTAGAGTCTGCAGTTAAAACAGGTGAGTGGGGTGCCTTTCAGAAGCAGTATGCACCACACCCCATTGACATCTATGGGGGTTTCTACACATTTTATGTTTACACCGACATCATCAATTACCAAACAGTAGTAGACAGCTTTGGCCTTTTAGGCCTGTAAAACATCCAATCAGGTTTTAAGTGGAATCTTTCAACATGCATACAATGGACCCTGAACGCTATGTCACTACCAAAATCAAGCAGGTGGTATCATGCCTGGTTATGCAGGCAGCCCTGCACTGTATGGAGCTGGATTTGGTGGGATTTTTAGAAATGTTTTCAGAATGGCGATACCATTGTTCAAGAGGGGGTTTAGTATAGCCAAACCACATCTAAAAACATTGTAAGCGATATAGTCAGCAATGGTCTGATACAAGCAATGCGAAACAATCAGGATGGGTCAGGTATGTTGGTGATGGCTCGAAAATCAGTGAAATGACCCCCTGGTAAGAGGCGTGGTCGACCTGGTTAGAACATTTTTTCGATACCTGCTGGAACACGTGTTTCTGACCAAGAAAATTTGTTCTTGGTGACTCTACCAAAGTCTATGATAATAGCAATGGTTGACAACAATGCTTTCAGGGGTGTGTACAATAAAAATCCTTTTGCATTTAAATATTATGATTTAGAGTTTATTGCTGTCTGTGCAGATGGACAACAATATCCGGCTAAACCACATCAACCCGATTTCCATTCTGGCTCTGCTGTACATGAATTTTATCAGTTAGCTCTTGCATCTGGAAGGCATCTGAAAAACCAGGCATTGCCTATTGATAGGACAGATTTCCTACAGGGCTACACTCTGTATGGGTTTAATCTTACGCCTGATGAAGAATGCAGACAACATGTGTCTTTGGTCAAATCGGGTAATATAGGACTGGAGGCTCGTTTCAGACACCCCCTTCCACACACCATAAATTTGATTGTGTACGCTGTTTTTGACAGTATTATTGAAGTGTCTAACTGAAGACAAGTTTTAGTGGATTTTTACTAATGAATACCTTAGAGCTGACCGCTGTCATGGACAAAGTAGCAGTCAACACACATTTTCTTGGTGTGTTAGCATGCGACCAATTACCAACAAATTTCATAATGAAATTGCCAACAATGGTGATTATTACTACACACCCATCTGATCTACCCAGTGAACACTGGCTAGCAGTCTACATAAGTGTTTTTTCCAGTTTTGAAAATGGTCCAGACTATGACATGTTTCCAAAAATGATTAGCAACTTTCTTAAAACATCGTGCATAACACAACGGTACTCAACCAGGCAAATACAAGATTTTACATCAACCACTTGTGGTCAACATTATGTGTTTTTTATACACCACATGTCTAAAGGGTCGAGTTATGAAGATGTAATGTCTAAATACAGTTTTGATTTAATAAAAAATGACAATATGGTTTGAACATTTGTGCAAAATTTGTATCCGTGTATTTGTAAGAGCAAATTGTTTAAATGTGTCCAGCATGTTCAAACAGGACGGATGTTTATTGTGTAATTTGTGCCTCCTCTGTGTAATGTAACTATTGATAAAAAACAGACAAACAAACAATTTCAACTTTGAGTCATTTATTTACAATATGTAAATTGTCTTTGTCATCAGTCTGATTAACAACATTTTTTTTCTTATCATTATCTGTGGGTGGTAAGGACAATGTTAATGTGTTGGTCTCCATATGACCCTGTTTAGCAATGGTTAAATATCTTTGAAAAACAGCAGCATAAAGCTTGGCCTTCTTATGGATGTCAAGATCAATCCTGCCCAAAATATTTCAAATGTCAGAGTGTCCAAGTCATTTTCTACAATTTGTCTGATCGCCTACAATTTGTCTGAATTTATCCAACTGGTGTTGTGGTACCAAAAACATTTTTTCAGCGTACACCATCACTTTAGTTTATTTATTTTGTTACCAAACTTGTTATAAATGGTAATGCAATACTTAATAACGGTAGAAGAAAGCCCCCTTTCTGATTAATTACTTTCTTTTTTTGTGAAACACCAATCTTTTTGTCAGCAAAAAATGTAATTTCAGACTTCTTCTATAACATACGATATTGTGTTGGTGTGAGAGGTATGGTACCATTAAGTACGTTAAGAGCCACTTCACACAGAGTATAAATATTTTCATTAGACGCCGTTTGTAAAATAACGCGTCTCTGTGCCGGCTTAGCTTTAAATAAAAGTTTGAGAAGTGGCAGGTTTCTATATAGTCTGTCAGACATACTGATCTATCAGCGTTTTATGAATGTCAACAACAGGACAGTTTGAAAGCAGATCTGTTCTGAGACGAAAGTCTTCAGGAGTCTTTGCTTTATAATCAATCATAAGATGACCGAATGGTTTACTTACAGCATTTTGAAAACACTCCATGAAAAACTTTGTATTACCAGGCTACATCTGTCTACCTAATACACCGACCTGATTGTTGTCTCGAGAATTTTTAAACAATATGAGGTAGTTTGTGTTCAAACTAATTGTCCTACTAGACTTTCCTTGAAAAACAAAATTTTGTATTAGGTAAATGGTGCTTAAATTTCGATGGTGTACATACACTGCGTAAATACCTTTTCTACCTCAGTGTTATTGGTAGCATCTTTCATAACATCATCAATAATTAGCAAATTATTTCTGTTAAGTGGTAGAAGTGTGTCATCATTTAGGGTTGTTGGTATCCCTTGACAAAATCAATATTTCTTATTTTTAACATTTCATCATAAAGGGGTTGCCAACAGTCAAAAATGTATACTATGTTTTCTATTTTCTTTGAAACCAACTCATCAGCACGTTCAATTAACTGTTTTACAAAAAATGTTTTTCCAGAATTTGATGGTCCACTTATTACACAAGAAAAAGGGTGTTGTAATCTACAATCAAACCCCTCAACCTCTTGTACCCTGTGATAGTCATGGACGTCTTTAGTACCTTTAGTATAAGGAAGTGTTGAAAAATCAGACAACAGGACCCACTTGTTGTATAGGACTTTAAAGCGTTTTGCCACTGACTTGTTTTTCTGTGTGAGGTTCTTTTTATTTCTCACTATGCCGTCTGCACGAGCCAGTATGTGTTGTCATGATTTACCACATAATGATCGACAAGCCTAGTCAGTGTGTCGAGTCTAATAACTTTTGAATTGTCAGTATTTAGTGTGATACCTAAATTCTGACCATTCAAATTGATATCACCTAAGTAGGGTCCCACAGGGGGTTCCCAATCACCTTCACGAGAAACAAAAATAACACTGTCAGTGTCGCTGTGCAAGAGTCTGTCAGCTAATCTATCCATCAGACCGTACAGTTCTAAACGAGCGTGCGCTGTTGTAAAAGCACCAAGAAACACATTAATGTCACGTGTTGGGCAACTGTCTCCGGCGGAATAGCACCACTGAATCAGCGCTGTGGCATC